ATGTTTGAGCTAAAATATAGATATTTTGTACTCATTATGTGTCTTTTGATGTGTAGGTTGAGATTTCGGGCTAAGCTGAGTTTTTGGAGCTAAAATAAGTAAAAGAGAACTTTGAAGTCTGAGTACAAATTTGAAAATTAAAGTCGGTATCGAATTCGGGGGTCGAGGATCACGTATGTATTTAAAACGTGAAAGAAAATGCTCAAGTCCATGTAAATGGCCTATCACGGCTTGTTGTAAGACGTAAAACTTGAAGTGGCTAGCCAAAATTCTCATAAGAAGTTAAGGAACTGAATTCTCCAAATTAAGACATGCAAGTGATGTGTCAACGTGAAGTGGCTGCCCAATTCATTATTTGACAAGACAAAATAGGAGCAGAAATGAAATTGGCCAATTCTCTGGCAAGGCCACTAATGCGACGCGTTGTGCGACGCCCGCTGCGGCGTGACAGTTTAAAAATCAGCATGACAGACAATTTGTAAGGTCTCTGTAAATCCTCACTAGCGCGCTGCGTGGTGCGGCGCACTTGTACAAAATTCTCAGAGTATTTTCCTGCTTCGTCTTGGAAAGAGTAGTTTCGTCCGAGCCCGTTTCTACATAGTATAAATACACCAAAATTACGATGTTTAGGGTACTTTTGACCTTGGAAGCTATGGGAGAACATTGGAGGCTACTAGACACGAGATCTCATCATTTTTCTATCAATTCAATACGGGAGTTAGGATTATAACGTTAGATTGATGCTTTCTTATTCTTTAACTCTTTTTGTGATGACTTCCTCCATAATTATGAAGTAGTTTACCTTAGGGTTTGACATGATTTGGTGACTTGGTTGTTGTCTATGGATTTGACTACTGCTTAATTTCTTGAATTTATTGGAGGAGTTTTAATATAGTTGTGATTTTATTCTTTAAAGTGTTTAATCGAAAGAGGAACATCTTATTGAATATTATTCTGCCTTAGTTTATTTTGGTGATTCTTTAAAATAATTGAGAGAGCTTTTTTTTAGTTGCCGTTAAATTAAGATTGAGAAATATTCGCGAGAAGTTTTTCTTAGATCAATCCTACCAATAGATTCTGTTGAAAGTATAAGCTGATTGTAATTGTTGTCTAGTAGGTTAATAAGGTGTTATGTGATAGATATCTAGTTAGTCAATAAGATGGCTATGGCTATTTATGTAAAGCAAAGTTAGTTAGAGGAGTTAGTTAAATAGTGTATATATACGCTACTCTGTACTGTACTGTAACATGTAGAAGAAATGAGAAACTGTTAGTGCTTTCTCTCAAGTTCTCTTCTGCTCATCTCTCTCTCTACTCTAATTTCGTTAATCTCTTCCTTCCATCGATAAAATTGACATGGTATCAGAGCACGGTTTCTTGAATATGGATCGCAAATATGTGTAATTGACTAATTCAAGCTCAATTTCTCAAGCTCTGTCTTTACAGGTGAAGCTCATCAATGGAGGACGTCGATAACGAAGCTCCTGAGAAGCTAAGTCACAATCATCCTCTATTTTTAAACTCAAATGATAATTCCGGAGCAATTTTGATCTCACTTCAACTCCAAGGTCCAGAAAATTACTCGGTATGGAGTCGAGCTATGAGAATTGCTATTTTAGGGCGAAATAAGCTACGGTTTATAGACGGTACTTGTAAGCGAGGGAATTATGATCCAAATCTGGTAGATCTGTGGGATAGATGCAATGCCATATTACTTTCATGGATTATGAACTGTGTATCGCGGGAATTGCTCAGTGGAGTTGTTTACTCGTCTAATGCATGTGCTGTGTGGAATGATCTAAAAGAGAGGTTTGACAAGGCTGATCTCTCTAGAATTTTTCATATTCATAATAATATTGTTATGATCAATCAAGGTACTAGCTCAATTTCCTCTTATTTCTCAAAATTGAGACTATTGTAGGCTGAGTTTGACAGTCTAGCTCCAATTCCTGGGTGTGACTGTGAGAAATCACGTGAATTTGTTGTGTTCACGGAGAGATTGAAGCTACTGCAGTTCCTTATGGGACTAAATGAGTCTCATGAGCAAGCTAGAAGCCAGTTACTCATGATGACACCAGCTCCCTCAGTTAACAAAGCCTACTCTATGATGATGGAAAAGGAAAGCCAAAGGGCAATTGCTCACACAGGTGTTCCTTTAGAGAATAATGACATCACTTCTTTTGTGTCAACTAGAGGAGGATTTCAGCAGAAACCAAAGAAAACCTTCAATCTAGTCTGTGATTACTGCAACTACAAAGGACATACCAGAGAGAATTACTTTAAGTTGAATGGTTACCCTGCTGATTTCAAGCACAAAAAGAAGGGAAGCTCATATCCTCCTACTGCTAACTTTGCAGGAAACATGGTGGTTCTGGATCTAATAATGTATCTATTGGCAAGCATGATATGTTTTCAATAGCTAATTTTGCAGGAAATAATAGTGGAGGTGAAAGGAGTTAATCTCAATCACATTCAGCAACACCACTTCCATCAGCACCGTACTTCACTCCAGAACAGTATCGACAAATCCTACATATGCTTGAAAAAGTAAATGAAGAATCAGTATGCTCTGCTCAACCACCACCAGCAGGTATATTTGCACTCATATCCAGTATAGTTGATGATAGGTGGATAATTGATATAGGAGCTACCAACCATATGGTAGGGAATTCTAATATGTTGACTGAATTGAATAAGGAGTCTAATCTAAAAGGTGGAAATGTGCATCTACGAAATGGTAATGTGGTGTCAATAGAAAATACATGGAAGTCTAGGATATTCAAAAATCAGGATCTACAAAATGTGCTGCACATTCCTGACTTTAAGTTTAACCACTTATCTGTGTCAAAGTTGACAAAAGAACTAATGTGTTGTGTGGCATTTTTTTCCTGATTTTTGCCTCTTCCAGGACCTCTTCAGTGGGCAGGTGAGGGAGATTGGTAGAGAAGACTGTGGGTTGTATTATCTGAAGCCACCTCCAACTCCTATAGCATCACCTACACAACTACAACCACAAGAAGTCTGCTATTCTGTGAAAGCTAATGTGCCACTATCTGTATAGCATAACAGACTAGGGCATGCTCCTTTAGATATACTTAGAAAAATAGAATTTTTAAAGCAGTGTAAACCAGACAAAAATAATCACTGTACTATTTGTCCACTAGGAAAACAGTCAAAACTTCCATTTGCTATCAGTACTACTAGTTCAAATAAACCTTTTCACCTAGTACATGGTGATGTATGGGGTCATTATAGAGTGCCTATTCATGATGGAAAGAGATATTTTTTAACACTGGTGGATGATTTCTCTAGGTACACTTGGCTATTTCTGTTGAATAATAAAGTTGAAACTTGTATCATTGTGAAGCAGTTTTTAGCTTTGGTGAAGAATACGTTTAACTCAAATGTTCAAACATTAAGAACAGATAATGGCTGTGAATTCTTTAATTCTTAGTTTGATGAGTTGATTAAGGAAAATGGCATTGTACATCAAAGCTCCTGTGTGACTGTGTTTATACACCTCAGCAAAATGGTGCAGTAGAAAGAAAGCACGGGTCTATTTTGAATATAGTCAGATCCTTAAGGTTTCAAGGAGTTGTGCCTCTAAAGTTCTGGGGAGAATGTGTTACCACAGTAGTTTATCTTCTTAACAGGTTACCTTCAGCCATTCTACAATATAAATCTTCTTTTGAAATGTTACACTTACATCCTCCTAATCTTGATCATTTAAGAATTTTTGGCTGTCTAGCTTATGCATCAAATCCTAATATCACCGATAAAATGTCACCTAGAGCTATTCTTGCTGCATTAATGGGATATTCTTCTACACAAAAGGGATACAAACTTTATGATCTACATGGCAGATCATTCTTTGTGAGTAGAAATGTGGTGTTCAGAGAAGATTTGTTTCCTTTTAAACACTTTACTCCTTCTACTCTCCCCTTATTTCCAGTACTAGAACTTATACCTGACACACCAAGAAACAGTCTTAATACCACTCCCAATAGCATAACAACCTCTCAAACCATACAAGAAGAATTGATCACAGAGAACCTCTTGACTCTAACACCTTCTACCAATATAGACCATTCTTTACAACCAGCTTCACCTAACAACACTATCCTAGATGAATTTAACACCAGTTTACCCCCTATTACAGAACCTCATCACCCTGAAACACTCAGATAATCCACTAGAACTGTCAAGCAACCTCTATGGATGCAAGACTTTATCACTACAAAAAAATTCAACTGTTCCTATCCTCTTTCATCCTACATCTGCTATGATTTTCTAACCCCACCATATAAGAATGCTTTAAACTCCTACTCATCCATTGTAGATCCTACTAGTTATAGAGAAGCATCTACAGATCCAAAGTGGATTGAAGCTATGAAACTAGAGATTGCAACACTAGAAGACAACAACACTTGGAGAATTGTTGATCTTCCTAAAGGTAAAACAGCTATTTGGTGCAAATGGGTATTCAAAGTCAAGTATAAGTCATCAGGAGAAATGGAAAGGTACAAGGCACGGCTGGTAGCCAAGGGTTATAGTCAACAAGAAGGATTGGACTACAAAGAAACCTTTTCACCAGTAGCCAAAATGGTTACTGTTAGATCAGTGGTAGTTGTGGAAGCCTCAAGACATTGGTTCATCTTTCAAATGGATGTTCACAATGCCTTCTTGCAAGGAGATCTTTTGGAGGAGGTCTATATGACTATTCCAGAAGGGTTTGCTAGACAGGGGGAGACTAATCAAGTCTGCAAACTACAGAAGTCACTGTATGGCCTGAAACAAGCACCAAGGCAGTGGAATCTCAAGCTTACTGAAGCTCTGTAGCAACTTGGCTTTGTCGAGAGTCACTATGACTATTCACTTTTCACACAACAACTAGGAGGTGACATAGTTGTGATCCTTATATATGTAGATGATCGAATCATTATAGGAAATAACAATGATCTGTTGGTAAAAACCAGGGAAGATCTTCAGAAAAATTCAAGATGAAAGACCTAGGTGAATTGAAATTCTTCTTAGGCATTGAATTTGCCAAATCAAGCAAGGGTATACATATGCGTCAAAGGAAGTATTCCTTGGAGATGATTTCTGAGCTTGGCTTAGGAGGAGCTATAACAGCTGGAACTCCACTAGAATGTAATCAGAAACTTACTTCAATAGAGTTTGATAGAGCATTCAACAAAGATGCAGCTCATGAAGATCCTATACTAGAATATGCTGGAGAATATCAAAGGCTGGTAGGGAGACTTCTATATCTGACCATGACTAGGCCAGATATCTCATTTGGAGTACATGTTCTAAGTGAGTATATGCATGCTCCAAAATAGTCCCACATGGAGGCTGCTCTAAGGATTGTTAGATATTTGAAAGCATCACCAGGTCTGGGGCTCTTAATGCCAGCAACAGAAACTAAACAGCTACAAGCCTTCTATGATTCTGATTGGGGTTCCTGCCTACAGACCAGAAGATCTGTTACAGGCTACCTAGTAAAATTTGGAGAGGCTTTGGTATCATGGAAATCCAAGAAGTAGGAAACTATGGCAAGGAGTTCAGCTGAAGCTGAATTTAGAAGCATGGCATCATGTGTAGCTGAAGTTACTTGGTTAATAGGGCTGCTCAAGGAGCTTGGGATTGAAGTGCGGTAACCTGTTGATCTGTTTTGTGATAGCAAAGCTACCATTCAAATAGCAGCCAATCCAATATTTCATGAACGGACCAAACATATAGACATTGACTGTCATTTTGTAAGGGAAAATTTGAGTCAAGGAGTAATCACAACTCATCATCTCCCAACAAAGGATCAACTGGCAGACCTACTGACTAAAAGCATTGGAAAAGCACAACATGAAGTTCCGTTGAATCAACTTAGAGTCGAGAATATATTCAAAGCACCAACTTAAGGGGGAGTGTTGAAAGTATAAGATGATTGTAATTGTTGGCTAGTGATCACACCCAACTATGCCTTATAAAAAGGACAAAGCGGTCGCTGCAAATATATTCTGGTTAACAAGTCCGGAGTCGAATCCCACAGGGAATTAACCTATCAATCATAGCTATCGGACTCACAGAAATTCACGTATTCAATTTTCAGAGATATTTGAGTAACAAATTGGGTGTTTATGAACTAAATATTACGTAGTAAAAAAATACAGTAATTAAGAACTAACTATAAACGGTTTGTAAGCAAGAATGGGAATGATCTAAGGTTATGATTTTCCCTGTCGTCGGAATCCTTTCCGCTATGTTTGCTATAAATTTGCCTAAGTCTTCTCTATCGATCATGAGCACTCTGACTGTCGTAAATCTCTCCCTAGTAATTACAACAATATACTAGACATATTCTCCCGAATTACGCTAGCTAGCTTTAAGTATAGCTCACTAAGATCGCACCCAAGGTTTCGTTATCCCTAATCCCACCTTTAAACCCTTCGTATTGATCCCTCAAATACGTTAGGAGTGATGATGTTCAACAACTACCTAAATATGCACTCTCTCCTGAGTAATGCACACTGAATAGGAACAGCTAATTGAGGGCCTTTCAATCAACAGCAATAAGCATATAGTTGAACAAATAGAGATAATAATACTACGGCAAATCTATATTAACATAACGAGAAAATCATCATTCAACAGGTTCCATCAAAACCCTAGATTAGGTATTTAGCTACTCATGCTCATAGTAACACTTTCCCAAATAATTTGCATAATCAAATTACAAATTAAAGATGAAGGAATGAAGAATTCGATGATAATCTCCTCTGGAAATGGATCCAAATGTTTTCTCCCTTACGAAATAGTTTCCCTAGGTCTCCGGTGTGTCCAAAGTCCTCAAAATAGTGTTTTTATATGTATTTATACCAAGTAGGGTCGGGACCAGACGAAACACCATTTCCTGTGCGAAATAGGACTCGGCTCTGTAAAATTTGTACAGGCGCGCCGCACGCTGCGACGCACAGTGCTGTATGCTTGTGGAGAAGTTCAAAGAGTTATTTTCTGACAGACTGTTGGAAAATTGCACATATGCGGCGCAGTGTGCGGCGCGGCAGTGCAATTTTCTCAGAGTGAAATTATTTCATCCTCGTTTGGCATCCAGACTTGGTACACAACCTCCGAACACGATCCCGGCTTAATGCATTGGGCTTTTACTCAGACTTCAAAGCTCCAGATTGATTGATTTAGCTCCAAATTAACTTTTGAACTCGGGATCACTTCCTGCAAGGCATAAAACACGTACTAAGTGTAATTCACTATCATTTGAGCTTAAGCACACGTAAAAATGCAGTATTTGGAATGTAATACTACGGCTAAAACACGGGTTTCTAGCCTAACATCAACACCCCACACTTAAACCATTGCCCGTCCTCGAGCATTTAAATTACGCTTTACCTAGGGATAACCTTACATCAAACAACCTCCCTGATACACCATGCCAAGAATAATTAAAGTAGACTGAGCACCTTATCATAATATCCCGCCCTCAAGATTCGACTCAAAAGTACCATGCATTATTCACGACTCGCCCACTCACTCTAACATAGAGGTCAATGACATTACTTTTCCTTTGTGAATCAAGTGCCCTCACATAACAAAAGAGAGTAGTTCCACACACACAATAAAATTTTAGAAAAATTAGGAACTCAACCTAGAAAGAATTCACTCCCTCTCAGAAACGACATTCATATTCCACAAAAGATGCACCATAGGCTTGCCCGTAGTGTACTACTCTACTAATCGAGCTCATTCAGTCTAGGATTAAGTAGGACTTTATTTGGTTGTAATGTAGGCTGCGGGCCGGATAGGATACATTTGGATATGAGTGACTACACCTCCCTTGAGCACTTTAATACATATACTTAAACACTCAAGCCCATCCTTCCGTCAAACCAAAACTCTTCCTTCACCTCAATGTATATTACCCCATACTTCTTTTTAAGCACAATTATATCGAGAGCACCACTATCAAATAATATTTTCCAGAAAGTAAGTAGTCTNTATATATATATAGATATAGATATATATATATATATATATATATATATATATATATATATATATATATATAGTTTTTTCAATTCCAGTGGCTCTTATTTTTCCAAAACAGTGCACCTTTCTCCTTATTTTATTAGCTCCACTCAAAAGCCAAACTAATCACCCCACACTTTAACCTTTTCAAGGTTCATTACAATTCAAGTGCTCATGAGAGGTGAAAAGGTTCAAATATATGGTCAATTCAAATAATTAGGTAAGGCTTGTAATGTGGTTGCCAAAGAACAGGATTTCAGGCTCGAAGGGGTTAACTATGATACATAACAGTTAGGCGGGTAAAGTATGCATATATATATATATATATATATATATATATATATATATATAGGAAACGCCTATATCACTTCCAAAACTAAACAAAACTACTATTTCGCTTTGCAAACACACGGAGCAAGTTCTAGGCATCAAATGCAATACACAGAATAACACAAAACCTTACACACACATGGCACATAACTCACTCATGATTGGACTCATCAAGACACTCTAGTCAAAGCAGTTAAGCACAGTTATAATCACACAATTTAAGGCACTTATTTAAGAGTCAAGAATTGAGCCTAGGTGTCACAACTAAGGTACTTACCACTCTCAAGGCATATGCAGTTAAGGGAAATTGATCCTTTAAATTAGCTTTCTGACTAAAGATTCTTAATTCCAAAAAAATAAAAAGATTTAACTACACTCGGTTCAAGCAAAACCCTTGGAAAAGAACCCACGGCACAAAGAAAAACCAAGGGGGAATTGTTACACTGCCTAAAAAAATACTAAAATAAAAGATATATTTTTGGATTTTCACATATATATAATTTCTTTTTCTTCTTTCGACTCATCTCCCTCAAGAAACCAGTCGACGAAATCCATTGTCGGGAAGAGTCGAACTAAACACTTAATTACTAACTATTACAGGCCGATAGAGTTCAGAAGTATAGTTTACAGACCATACTATCTATGAAAGCAAGAAACAAATCAAACAAAACCAACTGGCAAAATAAAAAAAAATACAAGTAAAATCAAATAGGAGCACCCCATCCCACACTTAAGAGATTGCATTGTCCCCAATGCAAAACAGTAAAATCAAGAGTGAAAAGGTGACTCCCTGAGGCCCAAGGCCTAATCATCAGCACCCTTGAAGGTGCGCAAATACTCCTCATCATCGGAGGGAATGGAGTTCACATCCTCATCTAGTGGAAGCTGTCCTCCTCTCGCCAACCCCAACCACTGCTGAGTGATAGCAGAAAGGGGGTGATCTTGCTGCAACTCCTCCAAGTAGGTCTCCCCCCGAGCAGCACGAAGGCTCAAGTCAGCAAACAGTAGCTGTAGCGTCTCCTCAACGTGGACCAACCTCTAGTCCAAATTAACATCAGTAGCAGGGAGGTCTATCACCGACGTAACATCATAGGCCTTGATAGGATAAGTCACTGGAATAGTCCGGTCATAGTGAAACTCCTCCTCTACATGGTGCGCTCGCAACAATCGAGTGATCATACTCGGGTAATATAGACGGCGGGCCCCAAGTGGTCGCACTCTAGCCATATGCTCCAGCATTAGTTTTCCAAGATCGACCCGCATCCGTGTCAATAAGGCATAGATCAAACACACTTTTAGTCGTGGAACATCAGTGTCACTTTGAGTGGGCATGATTTTGGCACTAATCAACCGCAAAACAACCCTGTCTGGCCACTGGAACGTACTCTTCTTCATGTCCTTATGGAAATCATTCGCATCCCGTGCCTATGTGGCAGAAGAGTCAGCGCCACATAGCAGTTGGCGGATAGCCGGATAGTCTGGCCGACGGAGAAACCTCTGAAAGATCTTGTGGGAATGCTCTGTGAAGCCCATAATCCAATTGATCACCTGAGAGGAGAAAGGAATCACTTTACCCGTACCTGCACTTCGTACACAGCATCCAGGCTGGCCTCAAGTTGCCAGTTAGCATAAAATTCTTTGTCTAGGGTCACATTCATCTCATCACCTGGACGGAACAGACTGTCGAAACCCAAAGCCCGAATGTTGTTGTATATCTTACTATATTTGCGGGCCAACTTCCCATCGTCAATAGCAACCTCAGGCTCCGGTGGCACCGCCGGGATAAATGTTTGGAACCAGCGTCGAGCATGGGCTAGGACAGCCCGTATACCATATTTGCACTCTGGCACCTCATCCGCATCAAGGTCAATGTGCTCCTCTTCCTCCTCCACTGGGGCGGGGGGAGATGCCCGTCTCCCACCTCGACGGCTACTAGAAGCAACCTCAGAAGAACCTGTGTTAGAGTGTTTACTCGGGCGGCGAGGCATTTACCTACACAAGACGAACAATATTAGCCACAACACGTAAACCAAAACAAGACCAAACGGGGTAACCATCCCACACTTATGTTATTGGAATGTTCACAAGTAAAATGTATACCAGGGACTCAGACTACTCCATTGGAAGTGCGCCACAAGCAATCAACAACCCACCCAACCACTAACATAATAGAACAATCACAAAACCACAGACTATACTAGCTTAAAATACAAAATTAAGAAGCTAATCTAGTAAATAAGACGAGAAAGAAAAGAAGTTATACTAATGCACTACTACAAACTTCAGAAAGTACAACACAACTCTACACAAGCACATAGCATGAATCGAACATTCCAATTAGCACCTAGCACCACATTATCTCATAACAATTATCCTCCACTAAGCTACAATGTCACCTTCTATGTCATTGAGGCATTTAATCAAGCACATGGTATTCACCAAAATTACCTCATAATTTCAACTTTAATTCTTCCAAGATTACTACACAACCATACCAATCAACCATCCTACAACCACCACAATGTAACAAGGGCACAAAGTGCTCCAAATTTGCACAAATATTCACCTATTTTCGGCCATAAAGGCACCTCCACCCAACTTCACCATCAAACTATTCTATAAGCACCACGACACATTAAAAATCTTCCACAATTATAAGCATGATGGAAACCCACAAGTTAAGCACCAATCATGGCCAAAATAAGCAAAGAAATTGAAAGAAAAAAAATTAGCATCGCTACACTACCTAGGGTTTAGTTCAAGATAAACTAATACTACTCAACTACAATAATTTCTCAAAGAAAAGATATGAGAGTAGAGGAACACTTACCTTGAAGATGAATGGAAGGGGTGGGAGGTGTGTGTGTGTGTGTGAAAGGGATTTGAGAAGAAAAGAGAGTGGGGGAATTGGGGGAAGGGCTGGAGCGTGTGGTTTGGTAATGAAAGAGAAAAGAGAAAAAGGGGGTAGGATGCTGAACGGGTTAGTGGTTAAGCGAAACTAACAAATTTTTTTTTATAAATTATGCACTGCCGCGTCGCAGGTTGCGGCGCCCTATGCGGCGCGCTAGTGTAAAATATCAGAGGCCATGCCTTTTCTTTCTCAGACCCGTTTGTCCTGGCGCGACGCATGGCACGGCGCGCCATACGGCGCGTTAGGCCATTTTTCACAGAGTTCGCTTTGTTTTCAACATTTAGCTTACGGGTTGCACCTCAACTCTATTATGTACTTATTTTATGTCCAATTCATGCTTGTACCTGCCCAAACAAGTCTCACAACTCCTAACTTCTAATAATCCTAAACTACAATTATGGGTTAGTGAGGTTAAAAATTAGGTTGCCTCCCAACAAACGCCTGATTTAACGTCGCGGCACGACGCAGGTAAGCGCATTTAAGGTACGCTCAACATTAGAGGCTCGATCAATTGGGTCACTGACACTCCCTTTGCCTTATCCATGCCCACATATTGTTTTAACCTGTGCCCATTGACTCTGAATGTGCGGGAGTCATTTGCCGCAGCAATCTCTACGGCACCAGTGGGGTGAATTTTAACCACACGAAATGGCCCTGAACATCATGATTTCAATTTGCCCGAAAACAACCTCAGTCGTGAGTTGTATAGCAATACCGTATCTCTAGGTTTAAAATTCCGCTCAATAATATTTCTATCATGTATCATCTTCAATCTCTCCTTGTATAATCTTTTGCTCTCAAAAGCGTGATATCTGAACTCATCAAGCTCGTGCAACTCCTTTACTCTACTTGTTCCCGCAGCTTCAATATCAAGATTCTACTGTCTCAATGCCCACCAAGCTCTATGCTCCAACTCTACTAGTAAATGACACGCCTTCCCAAATACCAACTTGTATGGCGACATGCCTATTATCGTTTTAAACGCGGTTCGATAAGCCCAAAGTGCATCGTCTAACTTCCTTGCCCAATCTGTTCTAGTAGCATTCACAGTCTTAGTCAGCACACTCTTTATTTCTCTATTCAAGACTTCTACTTGCCCGCTTGTTTGTGGATGATATGGGGTGGCCACCTTGTGGCGTACGTCATACTTCTCCAACAACTTTGCGAAGGCTCGATTACAAAAGTGAGTGCCTCCGTCACTAATTATTGCCCTTGGGGTGCCAAATCAGGTGAATATGTTCTTTCTCAAAAAAACCAATTACCCCCTTTGCATCATTTGTAGGGAGTGCTGCAGCTTCCACCCATTTGGACACGTAGTCCACTACGACGAGTATGTACTTGTTGCCATATGAGCTAACAAAAGGCCCCATGAAGTCGATCCCCATACATCAAACACTTCTACCTCCTGAATTGGGTTCATCGGCATCTCATGTCGGCTTGGCTAGTAGAAGCCCGACTCCAAGACTTCCGAGCTGTCCTTACTCCCCCAAAGTGCCCACCATATAGTGACGCGTGACATGCCTGCAAAATAGAAAACTGGTCTATCTCGGGGATACATATCCGGATCATGTTATCAACACAAATCCTGAACAGATAAGGCTCATCCTAATAATACATGCGACAATCACGAAAGAACTTTTTCTTTTGAACAGAGGAAAGGTCATACGGAACAATACTGCTCGCCAGGTAGTTTGCAATGTCTGCATACCATGGCGCTTCCTCGAGGCTCGCGGCTAGTAGTTGTTCAACTGGAAGAGTTTCCAGAATCTCTTCTACCTCAACCTTCTTTTCAGCTCCTTCCAGCCTAGATAAATGATCAGCTACTTGGTTCTCTGTTCCCTTTCGGTCACGGATCTCCAAATCAAATTCTTGCAGCAGTAGCACCCATCGAATCAGGCACGGTTTTGACTCCTTCTTCTCGATTAAGTACCTGAGAGCAGCATGGTCAGTATAAACAATTACCTTCGAGCCTATCAGGTATGACCTGAACTTGTCAAATGCGAACACCACTGCTAGCATCTCCTTCTCGGTCATAGCGTAATTTAGCTGGGCTCCACTCAACGTTCTACTTGCGTAGTATATTGGACGCATGCTATTATTTTTTCTCTCCCCAAGAACTGCTCCCACACCATAATCACTCTCATCACACATCAGCTCAAACGGTTGCTCCCAGTCGGGGGCAACTATGATAAGTGTTGTTACCAGTCTCTTCTTTAATTCCTCAAAAGCTACCCTGCAGTCATCAGAAAATACAAAAGGGTGATCTTTTTCAAGCAATTTACACAAGGGGTTAGCAATTTTAGAAAAATCCTTTATAAATCTCCTATAGAAACCGGCGTGCCCAAGAAAACTTCTGATTGCTTTGACGGAGGTTGTGAGCACCTAATTTTTGCCCCGCATGAAAATAACTCCTAAAAATTAGACCAAAAATAATTTTAATGGATTTTAGGAGTTTTTCTTTATTTAGTTGCATATCATGCATGTTTAATATTTTAAAATCATAAGAAAAAACATAAAAATTATCACATTTTAATTTCATGCCATCTTAGGTTTAATTTACATTTATAGGAATTAGTCACTCTTTAATTGTTAGAATTAATATATTAAAAAAATCAAACAAATTATTTTATGCATTTGTTAATAGATAAATAGAATTAATTTTGCTAATTAGATTTAAGTTAGGTTTTAATTTAGGATTTAATTTGTTAGAACTTAAAATCAAAAGAAAAAAGAAGTAGATTTGGTCTTTTAATTTCAGTTGGGTCAGCTTAATTTGAAGCCCAAAAATCCCAAATGCTTAAACACATCAGGCCAGCTCAATTCCATTATATACCCTACCCGCCTAGTCCAATAACCCAGCATCTCTCATTAAAACCTCCCCTTCCAAAAAAAAGACCTAGAAGATCAAACCTTCCCCCCTAGCGCCGTTTTCCCTTCTCCTTAATTCTTCTCTCATCTTCGACAGGATGAAGATAATTGGACCCCCCCTCCCCCTCTAAAAAAGAAAAACCTAGACGCTCCCTCAAACAAGAACACCAGCGGCAACACCCTTCTTTGGCTTCACCGGAGCGGCGGGTTCAGTAGCGGTTGAGGCCAGCTTGAAAGAGCCCTTGAGTTTAGTGAGTTTACCATAAGCAACAAGCTTCTTCATCCGAACTAAAAGCAATTTCCTGAAATTAGAAGCATAAGGAGGACGGGATCCGGGTTTCTTAGGAGCAGAAGTTTTTTTTGCAGTTGTAGACGTCATTGTAGAACAAAACAAAAAAGATTAATTGACGAAAACTGAATGCTATGTGGTAATTGCTAAAAGATAACGATTGTTGTCTTCGGTCGTTGTTGGTGATCATTGTTGGGCTTCTATATGCTATCGTTGGTTTACTTTAGTGTTGTTGCTTCTTTGTTTAGGTATGTCAATCCTAGTCCATCTTTTATTTTTAGGTATGATTGGAACTTTGCTGTATTCTTGCTAGATTTCCTATTGATGCAGAAGTGTTTGCTTAAACTTCAATTTCTATCTTATTTTGTTTAATTCTTGCTCATATATAATGTTCAACATTTTTTTATTAAAATTTTCGAGGTGGTGTTGGCTGTTGATAGATTTGAAAGTCTATGCTAGTATTCAAACTTGTTCTTGGTATGTCTATGGTAAAAATGTGGTGAATATTTATCATGTTCAGTCATTTAATTATGAACACTGTGCTGAATATATCTCCTTATTACACCTAATTTTATATGGGTTACGAAAGCCTAGAATTATCCGAACTTTGAAAGTTGAGCGTTGGTTTAACCCCTTAAAAATATAGCTGCTACGTTTTCCTCTGTAAATGAAGATTCCAGAAATGCTAACTTTCATTATGTCCTAAGTTTTAGTGTTTTGCGAGTTAGTCCACTGCTCCAAATCTAGGAAGTCTGTTTTGGACTAATTCTTTTTGTTCCCCCTGTTAAAAATCTATCCTTATCCATGTTAATTTCACAACCTTTTGATCTTTTACAAAAAAACCACGGATCTTAGGAAATTAATCAACTCATGAACATCGTAGTTTGTTTTAGGCGCGATTAATAAATCATCGTGGACATGGGTACGGTTCCCGTGGCATGGTCTCGATACGTAAATCACATTCGGGTGTGCATTTCATGTGACCCGACCATAACTTCGAACAATAATAAAATAAAAATATTGTAGATCGTGGGTACGGTTCCCATGACGCGATTCGCAATGTGTACAAAAACAAACGAGTGCACGACATCGCGTCCATAAATACTAAAAGTAGTTAAATAATTCCATAAAAGCGGTAAAAGTTTGAAAATGCACAATAGGTTTAAAACTTGTAATAAATCAGATAATGAGGCCAATTATTAATAGTTGAGCGACCGTGCTAAAATCACGGAACTCGGGAATGTTTAACACCTTCTCCCGGGTTAACATAATTCTTTACCCGATCTTCTGTGTCGCAGACCGTAAATAAGAGTCAATTTCCTCGATTTGGGATTTAAAATAAACAAGTGACTTGGGACACCATAAATATCCCAAGTGGCGACTTTGAAATAAATAAATAATCCCATTCGAATAATGTCACTTTAATTGGAAAAACTCCTCTATCCCCCCTCGGGAAAAAGGAGGTGTGACAGCTCTGGCGACTCTGCTAGGAAATAGAACCCAGAATCTTTGGTTCAGGGTTTAGAATTCGAGCTTAGAATAACTGTTATAGTTGGCTTTTATTTATTATCTGATTTTTATTACATGTTTGAGCCTAACGTGCTAAATGCCACTTTTTACCGCTTTAGTATTATTTGAACTGTATATAAACTGTTACGAAATCCTTCTTCTCTGAGTCTTCTAAATCTTCTGGGAAGTGCACGTTGGCGTGACTTCTTTTCTGTTAGAGTCATACCCTAATTTAGAACGAGCATCGGATCAATTACAAAGCCGGATGGCCTTTTGGTTACCGGTACGTTGCCCCCCTCGGCTCGAGTTGTCCGCTCGGGTAAGCCAGGTCTAGAACAATACACCCAGGTTTTAAACCTAGAATAACATAGCCTCATGTCGGATCCCTAGTAGGAACGCTTGTTTGTATCACGTGCATTTGACTTTGGGGACTCAACACAGGGGTTGGGTCTCTCTAGGACAGGTGTACCAGAAATAAAAAGACCACCCCGATGCAATTTTACATGCTACTTGTGCATTTAATTGTTTCGGCTTGTATGTTGACTGGCTTCTAGATTAGGGAAGAAAAATCAAAGAAAAACCAAGATTGAGGTAGGAGAGAGAAAATCATCCGTTTCCAAAAAACCCTACTGTTTAAATTATCCCGAAACTTTGCCGAAATTTTGAAAAAAAGAAGAGAAAAGGTCATTTCAAAATAAGTCATGCTTTCTTGTTGCGTCAAAACTGATCGAACTACGCGGGTCTGATTCTCACCGAATGTGAGATACGTAGGCAAACCTCATCGGTTCCGGCCCCAATTTTTAAAAATCCAAAAATATTTTCCTTTAAATCATTCTTTAGAAGCATTTCCTTAGAAAATTCAAAAAAAAAATTTAAATTCAAAAAAAATTGTTTCCTTCTTTCTGAAGTCTTTCATACGGAAAAAAGAAATAAAAAGAAAAATCAATCAAAAATCAAAATCCAAAATGCGGATTTCCTTTATTTTGAAGTATTTTCCCCAAAAAACAAAAAAAAAATCAGAAAAAAAAAAAGAATTCAAAGAAAATATTCTTTTCCTTCTTTAAAAGTCTTTCTTTCGTAAATGTCATAAACATTTTGAAAAATTGAAGTCCAAAAATGTTTTCGTTTTTCTTTAGAAGTACTTTTGTAAATTAAAAAAAGAAAAACTCAGAAATTCAAAATATTTTATTAAAAGTCCCCCCTTTCAAAATTAAGAGGCAACATCCAAAATTCAAAAATATTTTCTTTCTTATTTAGAAAATGACAAAACGAATGGAAATTCAAACAAAAATATTTTTTTTACTTTTGAAATTCCCAAAGTTCCAATCAGAAGAAAAGGGATTTTTAGAAGTCTTTCTTTAAAAAAAAATGAAAATCCAAAATATTTTCCTTGTTAGAAGCTATTGAGGTATATTTGCCTATTTAAAATGTTGAATAAATTAAAAAAAAGCAAAGAGAAAGAAAAAGTTAGCTTATTTATCTTGTTCCTAGTATTCCTGAACTACGTAAAGATCTAATTCATGCGGCGTCATGATACGTAGGCAATCTCCATCTGATTCGATCATAGCCTTAAAATAAATTGAGTGAAAAATAATCCGAAAAAAAAAGAAAAAAAATTGAGTGAAAAAGAAAGAAAAAGTTACTAAAAAAAAGAGCGACATAAAATAAAAGAGTGACAAAAACAAAAACAAAAAAAAGAGAAAAAAAGAGTGCCAAAATAAAAGAGCGACAGAAACAAAATGAAAATCAAAAGTGATTAGAGAGAAGCAAAAATGAAGAAAAGAGGTGCAGATTGAAAAAAAAAGGGGGGGG